AAAAACGCCAATTAGATTGTGTGAGCTCATACATGCATCTCCTCACAGAGGCCAAAAAGAAAAGGGGGGGGGGATTTATTTACAAAACAGAGGTGGTACATTAAAGGGAGCTGTCTCGGCAGCATTTAAATGACCTCATCTTCTGTTGGAACCAAAAATAATATTTCACAATAGCATCTTTTCCCCAAATGTGAGAAGAAACATCATCCAACTAGAATTTTACTGCAGTAAGTGGTCTGGCTCTAGTTGCAAACTTAGATTCTGAGACTGTTTGCTTATCCCTTCTTATTTAGAATGATCAGTAAGAAATGATGTGTGATATGTCAGAGTTGAAGTTCCTGAGGTAGCAGACCAAAATGCTCAGTTTATAGGTGAGAAAACAGAAGCTCAGAGAAAGAACATGGCAGCTTGAAGGCCACAGAGTTGGGGAAGGAAGAACTAGGGCTGGAACATAGTATCCCATCTCTCAGGCCTGGAGCTCTTTTTTTAAAAAATAGTTATTCGTTTTTGAGAGAGAGAGAGAGTGTGCATGTGATTTGGGGAGGGGCAGAGAGAAGGGGACAGGGGATCTGAAGGAAGCTCTGCACTGACAACAGAGAGTCTGATGCTGGGCTTGAACTCATGAACCACAAGATCATGACCTGAGCTGAAGTCGGACACTTACCCGACTGAGCCACCCAGGTGCCCCTTAGGCCTGGAGCTCTTGGGTGCTTTCATTAATAAATGGGCACAGAACACCTGCCGGTGCAAGGCACTGAGCCAGAACACAAAGACAAATAAGGTCCTTGCCCTTAAAGTCTACTGGGGACACAACAAGCCCTATGGCAACTGGAATATGTGGGATTCATGCATTGATCAAGATAAGGAGGGGATCATGCAGAAGCCCAAAGAGGAGATGCTTAAAGATGGTACAGGTGGGGGGGGGTCCCCAGAAGCCTCCTAGAGGAGTGTGTCCCCCAGAAATGGAAGAAGCTAAGCTACATGGGGGAGGGGAGAAGAAACAGAATGGTGAGAGCAGCAGCTGCAAAGGCTCACAGGAGATAGGGTAGCCTTTTGGGAAAAAATGTGGCTAATTCAGTCTAAACTGAGGAGGAAGAAAGCAGTGAGAGATGAAGGCAAAAAGTTAAGCAGGGATCAGAGAGTGAAAGGCCTCATGTGCTTTGTTAAGCTAAGGTGTTCAGATATTACCCTGAGGGTAAAGTGGACCCATCCAAAGGGCTTAAGCTGCAGTGTGTGTGAGGAGGTACATGCATGACTGATGGAGTCTCTTTAGAAAGGTCCCTCTGGCTGCTGTGGGGACAGCAGATGACAGGATGACACTGGACATGGATGGGTAGCAGACTACTATGACCACCCACATGGGAAATGAAAGCAGCTTGGTCCAGACCTATAGCCATAGAAGTGGGAGTGGGAGAGAGAAGTGGGGTGAGGAGGGAGACCCTACAGGGAGCCAGAGTTGATAGGATTTGGTGTTCGACTGGACATGGGGAAGAAAGAGGCCAGTATTTCAGTTGACTCCAGGATGCCAACTGTCCCAATTTGCTGGCATGGGACTGTCAGTACAAAACCACGGAAAGTTATAGACAAACCAGGTAATTGCTAGCTGAAACTCAGGTTTCTGGCTTGGGCAACTTTGAGAGTGATGGGACCTGGAACATTGGAGCCAGCTGGGTGGGAAAATGATGCATCGATGTGAAATATCTAAGATGGGAGACCTACTGCAGGTAGGTGGTAGAAAGCTTGGGGCGGGGGCGCTCAGGAGAGAGGTAAAGGAGCAGACACGGACCTAGGAGACATTACCACATAGAAGGATAGACGTTCACCCATTGCTTACTAGAATAGGATCATCCTCATGCTGTCTCTGCTTGATGCAAACATAAAACTACCCAGGAGATGTCCTGGATGTGATTCTCCTCAGTTACCTTTTCCTCAGATTCAGACCTGGGGCAGCCTTCCTGAGGTCTCTGCAGACCACTTGCACTGAACCACTCAGCCTTCCTGAGGTCTCTGCTGAAGGTCTGGGGAAGAGTTCGGATACTCTATAGAGTGAATTACAAGTGTTAGGGTGAGACCACAAATGGACCCACAGACACACATGCCAACTATGAAGAAACTTGCCTGACTGGCAAATGGTAGGGTTCTTTTTCTCCCTATTATGTGACTAAGTTGTACTTATTTTTACCATGCTGCATTACAAAAATACACATTTGTAGTAAACAGGCTTGCAAGAACTGTTCCCTTGGATGAATAATGATCTTCACTAGACAGGGAGTAAGGAACTCTGAACTCATTTCTAAAACTGCTTATCTATGTCCTAGGAGATTCTAACGTTTTAAACAATGGGCCCAACTTTTATAATTTAAAAAATTAATCTGGTTGCATATGTCTTATTATGTGTTAATATTTTATAGAAACATATGTTTTTTTAAAAGAAGATATTTACTAGAGAAAATGTTTTCTACAGCTCTGTTAAAGGAAAAGAGGGTATAAAAATAAAGACAGAAGATTTATTTTCATGTAACAAATAACAGTCTGTGAAAAGAAGCATCTCACAAATAAAAATGGCCTGAATGATTATAAACCTAGTCTGTAATTTATTCTTTGTAGATTTATATTAAATCATTAATAAAGCAGAAACAGAACAATGCTGACATGTTTAATCTCCCATTATTCAAATGGAATAGAATTTTTTGCCCCAAGGGTTTAAGAGGTAAATGCCTAATTTTTGTTTTTTCTGGAAATTCCATTTTAGCATCCTCATCCTGGAGGATGAGGCTCCTCCAGGCTCATCCTGGAGTAAAAATAAAAATCCACTCAGCCCAAGAACCTACACCACCTTCTGTGATGGTCTACTGGTTCCAATCTGGACGTTGGGGGAGCAGTGAAGATCTACTTCTTGCCAACTCTATCAATCCTGGGTAAGTGCATTGAATGATGATGTTTCTTGGTTTGAAAAGGGTCCTAAAAGATATTCATGCCTAAAAGGGTGTATGGCCCATTCCAACTTTCTAAGATGTAAAGTATAACCCAGGGTCAACATTCAATCTATAGATTATGGGCAGTTGTAAAGAATGCAAAGTCCAGATGGCAGATCTCTCCTTTCTATAGGCATGTGGCTTTAAAAAAAATGTCCCAAAGGCAATAGATTTTGTTTTTGTTTTTTTTTTTTAATCACCATTTCATTTATATCTTCTTTGACATTTGATCTTGAGTGCAAAAACCAGGCAAAGGAAGTCTGATATGTGTAGTCTTCAAATAGTCTAATCCAGAAATTCACTTTTATGTTACTGCTTTTAGTTAAGTTTAGCAGAGAGGGGCACCTGGGTGGCTCAAGTTGGTTAAGTGTCCAACTTGGGCTCAGGTCAAGATCTTGCGGTTCGTGGGTTTGAGCCCCGCGTCAGGCTCTGTGCTGACAGCTTAGAACTTGGAGCCTGCTTCAGATTCTATATCTTCTTCTCTCTTTGCACACCACCCCCCCACTCTTGCTCTGTTTCTGTCTCTGTCATAAACAAACAAACATTAAAAAAAAAAGGTTAGCAGAGAATGAGCAGCCTCTTAAAAGTTTGTTTTTTTTTTTTTTTCTTTTAAAGTCATTTCCAAATTATTTCTACTGTGTCCTAGGCCAAATGAAAGCCTCTTCTTTGGAATATATGTGAGATTTAGTCTCTTTTGCTAACTTAAACCTTCAAAATGATTAAGCTAACCAACACTCCCTAACTTACTCATCCTCAGCTTTCTGTGTATTCATAATCTAATCATTAGGAGAAAAAGTCATATCCAAATATAGTACTCATCAGAAAGAAACAAATTATAATCTTTTTATTGTCCTTAATTTGGGGGGTCCACATTATAATCTTTTTATTCACCTTAATTCTTTTTTGAGGAGAACCATAAAGTTGGTAGAAAATCATTGATAGAGACATTACTTTTTTCTTCTCCTTTATTTACAATTCTATCTACAAATCATGCCTCCTTTGGGTAAGGCTTTATGAAGACCACCCAGATACTCAAATGAAGGAACATGGTTCCTTGAGAGAGGGATTATTTTGATTCCTCTAATCCCATTATACAGATTGGCTATGATTGGAGAAATATGCATGAAATAGCCTTTCTAGAAATTAGACTCATTCCCAGGGTACCATTTCAGCAGTATACAAAGCTGAACTTGATGCTTCTTATCTTCCCAACTTTCTCTTTCATCCTTAAGGGGTGTCTCCTACAGGGACTCAGAGAGGAAACCAATCAGAAACAACATAGCAAGTTACTGCTTCTTTAGGAACCCACAGGCATATCTGCCAAGAAGATTCTTGGAAGGAACGTGCTTACCCTAAAGAAATATAATTTCATGAGAGAATGTTGGCTACAATGGAGGAGAAAATTTGAAGCTAGAAGTGGACCTGTTACCACTCAGAGTATACCACATCTGCTTTGCCTTTAGGTAAGACCAACCCTGACCATCACAGCTGGATATCATAGTATCAGAGATTTCTGTGAAATTTCCCAACTTCACTGGAATTCAGCAACGTAATAACACGAACCCATAAAAATATCACTGGTTTTGAAGTGTTAAAAATAAAAGCAGATGTTTCCCTAAGTGTTGAACATCCTTCCTGTGTAATACTGAGGACTGAATGTTTGAATGTTTTTGCTATCAACTGCCACCAGGAATTCTTGGCCTCACCAGTGGCAATTCCACTGGTGACAGTAGTGATAAATAATGATGCAGTTCGAGTACTTTATCTGGGCCTCAGATGACTCAAATTATACCACAGAAGGGCTTGAATTTTCCACTTAGGATCACTCAACTAGCTCTTTATTTAAGTGGATGAAATGATTTGGATTTTTTGTTGTTGTTATTGTTACGTCCTCTGATCATTTATCTTACTAAATGTGTTGGCTTCTAAATACAAGGCCATCTTAGATAGATTTTCTGAGCCTTAAAAGCTATTTCAACAGTACTTTGTTTGAAATTCAGGTTCGATAAGCAAACAAAAGCTTACCCGTGCCAGGCAGTCACTTGATTGGAAGTCTGTCTTCCCAGATTTTGAGAAGCGACGTTTGTCATTGCTTGTAGGTAGAGCAGCATCTGTCTTTGGAATTCTATGCTCTGTCCCTCTGTCTGCTTCTGACTTGTCTAGATGGGATCCAGCCAGCTCCTTGAGAGATTCCGGGCCATTTTCTAGCTCAAAAGCATGGCCATTGCCAAGTTCGGGGTCTGGGCCGTTGTCCGGCTCAGAGATGGGGTCATTGTCCAACTCACAGCCAGTACTGCTCTTGGGTTCTTCAGTGGCTTTGTGGGTAGAAGGCCTGGAAATGACCCCAAACTTTCTTGCTCTTTTTCCCTTTTTCACAGTTTGGTCACCCAGCTCCAAGGTTGGCGTCTCTCCTGGTTCAGAGCTGTTGCTACCGTTGCCATTATACGGAGAGTGAACTTTGTGCTTGAAGCGGCGCAGCATGATCAGGTAGATAAAGCCGCCATTCCAGCACTGCTCAGCCAGGTAACTGCAACACACACAGAAATGCCGGGTGAAACCCTCACACCATCCATCTAAACCAGCGCATCGGGCAGACGCATTCAGCAGCACCCGCGGAACCCGTGTGATTAACAACCTGGTGAAGCAACGGAGGTACTAAGCTTCCCAAAGAGGCTCAATGCTCAGTTCATTCTTTTAATCTACATAATTGTTGATGCTAAAAATAACCCCCAAACCAAAATCCCCACGAGCTAGAAATTACTAATGAAAAAAACCCTAGAGTAGGTAATTAGAAATGGAGTTTTCTATTCACAGAGCCAATCCTTACATATGATTACAAAAACAATAATTCTCCATTCCCTCAACAATTTCTTACATCAGAATTACGCTAGCCTCCCATTCATCTAGTTAAAAAAACAAATTTAAATTAAAAAATTTTTTTTAACATTTTTATTCATTTTTGAGAGACAGAGACAGAACACTAGCAGGGTAAGGGCAGAGAGAGAGGGGACACGGAATCTGAAGCAGGATCCAGGCTCTGAGTGCGGGGCTTGCACTCGTTAACCGCGAGATCATGACCTAAGCCAAAGTTGGACACTTAACCGACCGAGCCACCCAGGCGCCCCGCACTTAAATTTTTTTTAAGTAAACTCTACGTCCAATGTGGGGCTTGAACTCACAACCCAGATATCAAGAGTGGCATGCTCTACTGATTGAGCCAGCCAGACGCCCCACCATTCATATAGTTTTGATGTCATTACTCTGCAAGTTCCCAAGGTAAAGAATAGATAAACTGAGAGACATGTAAAGTTCTGCTCTTAGGATCAAAATATCAACTGCACAACAACAAGAATCACTGCCTCACAGCATTCCAGTGAAAACAGATACTGAGCTGGGGGTGGAGAGGTGTTGGCTGGAATTAAGACACAACTGGTAATAAGCGCTGACAAGTGTGTGCTGCATTAAATGAGCATCAAGTCCACTTCTTGATAATGGTTCTAGTTTGGGTTGTTCCTGGCACACAAGGAGTGTCATTTTCAGTCTGGGTGTCGCTTTGAGAGGACCCCCAATGCAAACCATGCAGACATGGGGTGACTAGGATACAGAAGGCTATTGGAAACTGTGTCAACCAGGAAAAGTGAAAGGGCAGGGATGTCCTCTCCAGGGATGCTTGGCTTGAGAGGGCAGAGGCCGGGCTCAGTTGCGTTTCATGTACTTGAGGGGTGCCAAACACTTAGAAGCAGGAAATAATATAAGTGAGATAATGCATGTGAAGCCTGACACACAATAACTACTCCAGATCTTAAGGAATAACAATAAATAGAACATCAAACAAGATAAGTAATTAGTGGTATTCAGGACCATGAAAGCTTTAGCAAAGAAAACACACTTGCTTAAAGTCAGGAAACTAGGCTGGGCTGGACCCTCTACTTATGCCACCCAAGATAAGGAAGCACAAACCCCAGATGGGTCCAGGGAAACGCCTTCACCACTGGAATGTTGCCACATTCTACACATCACCTGATCACAAGCAAAGAATGTCAACCACCAAATCCTTAATGTGTTGGACTGCTTCTGGCCTTCATGTGCCTACAAAGGATTGCCCACATCCTCAATAAATGAAAAACAGAACATATTCAAGTATACCAAGCTGCTCCTCCTCCAGGCTTGAAGCTCAGACTTGAGAGCTGGGATAGTCAGTTTACCGGAAGGGGTCGCGTCCATAACAAGAGGTAACCAGATGCGTTTGAAATGTACTAATTTCTGGGACAAAGACATATATTACCCATACCTAATGGTCAGGTTAATGCAATGACAATGCCAGTCTCCATGAAGAGCAGAATAATTCTGAATTTTTGCCATGGAGTAGAGTGAACAAGAGAGATGGGTCCTTAAACAACCACCAAAGCTAATAAAAACTTTCTTTGATCCTGGGCTACAAAACATGGTAATGAACTTACACATAAAAACCAGGTAGATAAAAGGTACCATATAGACCTCAGGTTGTTCTGTGAAATACAATGAGATGAAGAGGTGTAAAGAGCGGTCCACTAGAGTCTGGAAAATGAAAATTAAACTTGGTTCTTAGTATAATTTCTCTATAATGTTTAGATTTCATTCTTTGAATTGTGTATCTTTTTCACACTGGAAAAATTTTTGTAAAGATATAAGATCTTCAGAGTAGTTATTAGCCAGACTGTAAGGGTTTCTTTGAGCAAATCACTACTATTAATGCAAGACATATGTCAGATGTTATGAAAAACAGCGTAAGGTAGTAAAAACAGGACCACGGGGAAAGTCAGACACTCAAGTCTTCATTCTGGCTTTGGCCCAACCACGTAAAAACAATGGTAATGATACCAAATTTCCATCAACCTATGTATGAATGGATAGACAAAATGTAGTATATCCCTATAATGGAATATTATTTGGCAATAACAGGAATAAAGTATATGTCATAACTTAAGCTTGAAAACATTACGCTAGGTAAAAGATGCCAGACCACAAAAGGCCATGTCATTCCATTTATAGGACATGTCCAGAATGGGCAAGTCCATAGAGACAGGAAGAGTATTAGTGGTCGCCAGGACTAGGGAGAAGGGAGAATTGGGACTGCTTGCAGAGTTTTTGGGGACGATGGAAATGTTCTCAAATTAGGTACTGGTGATGGTTGCACAACACAGTGAATATACTCACTGAATTGTATACTTTAAAATAGTGAATTTTCTGTTATATGAATTAGGTCTCAACTTAAAAAAATAACAGCAAATATAATAATTCTGGCCAAGTTTTGAATTGCTTTTTTTTTTTTTTAAAGCAGGTTCCATGCCTAGTGTGGAGCCCAATGCAGGGCTTGAACCCACAACCCTGAGCTGAGATTGAAAGTTGGACACTTAACCAACTGAGCCACCAAGGTGCCCCAGAGTTACTTCTTAGAGTATGTGCTCCTTAAGAACACCCTTTGCAAGAGAAGAAACTGAGGCTTAGAAATATTAATATGCCCCAGTTCACCTAAATGTCAAGTGCTGGACTGAGGCCCTCCTGCTTCTCAAACCCATGCTATGTCCACTGTGCTGCTGTGCTGTCTCAATTACTCTAGTGTCCTTGTCTGTAACACGAGGGTGTTAAAATAGGTCATCTCCAAGTTGCTTTCGCATGTTCAGAACTGTGAATGCTAGTTTCTTGGGAAGGCTTCTAGAGATCAAAGGTGCAGGCCATCCCCAAAGTATTGATCCATTGCCAAAGACAAAACAGAACCCTGGAAAAAAAAAAAACATTCCTTTTATGTCCAAGGTGTCCTAGGTCTCCTGGACATTAACTATCAACCTGAAAAAGATATCACCTGGAGAGGTAATTCCTTTTGGGATTCTATCTTTTGTATTAAGCTCTGGACAATTTGATGGGTTCTGTGCAGAAACCTTCTTTTCAGTACCAAAAAGGCTGGCTCACTGAGTCAGAGTATAGGATCTTGGAAATCTCTACTCTCACAGAAGCTCCAAGAATCTTGGGAGGTTTATTCCTTCTGCAGGGTCCATACTCAACAAAATTACAAAGCAAGAGTTTATCTTTAGTTTGGCACCATGTCCTCATCCCCTCCTGACTTCCTAATAATAAATAAGGCTCTGACACTTTCAAGGAACTGTATGACAGGTTATTTTATTCCTTCCTGGACACTGAATCTTCTAAGGTCATCCCGAAGACAAAGTGTAATGAATCAACTACGGACGCTACAGCAAGTTGGTGAGAAAGACTGTTAGGCTGGGGGTAGTTTTCTTAGAGTTCTTCCATCCACCTTATATGTAATGCCTCCATATTCCCTATCCATCTGTACTGAAATGACTCACCAAACTTTTCCAGTGCCTTTCTAGCTAATTCATATGTCCAAATCCCTTTTCAGTTCAAAAGGATTCCTACCCACCATGAGAATCTTTAAACTTCAAAGTTAGTCTTTGAGAAAGAAGAAATGGAATATAATCCTGGTCCAGAAAAATAGGTCTCCTCTTCAGTAATTTTTTGGTTTCTTCCCCAAATTTGAAACTGTCCTCTGACATATAAAATTATTGATTAATTTGATTTTGACCATCCCAGGATGGCCTTAAGATAAATGAGGAAAGACAAGCATATCCAGAAATGAAGTTCTAAATTCTAGCCTAGAATCCTCCCTGTGGAATGTATTGAGGTTCCTCACTTCACTTGGCCTTTGCAAACACCTTTGTAACTTAATCCCTTCTACCTCCCTTTCCTCTCAAAAAGTGCTTTATAATAAATAAAATAAAATAAAATAAAAATAAAATAAAATAGCTTTGAGTACCTCCTGTGTTTCTTGATGCTCTATCATAATTCTGGCATCTGGGTTCTCCAGGGGTGGAAGGCCCAGGAAGGACTGGCAGGTAGGGTTGGGTGCTAGGAAAAGCTAGAGGGATAAAGCTGCCTGGAGTTTAAAGAACAAGGACAGGGAGGCAGGAGATGAGAGGGGCAGAGACAGTAGGTGTTGGAAGGCCAAGGACACACATTATTTATCCATGCCCTAATTCTATCAAAAGAAGGCATGAGGCAGCTATGCAATTCTGATATTCTAGACTGTTCTGCCAAAGTCCTCAGAAGGAGCAGTATGTCCAGGTGCCTTTGAAAATCATCTTGGGCATTTGGCCATCAGTTACCGATGCCTGGTACATAGTGTGAACCCACAGAAGGGAGCTGCCAGGCAGATCCATTGGTGTATACATATGTGTGATTCAGAGTCAGTTGGCTCACCACCCCTGGGTGGCCTGCACCCCAATGCCTTGAAAACACTGTATAACTCAGACAACATAAAGGAATTCCAGAACTCAGACTTTTTGGCAAAGCAGACATTCTCACTTCATCTGAGTGAGTCAGGCCCCCAGGATAGACAGTAGAGGAACAAGATGTTTATAGAGGAGTTCCTACGTCCAGGCAGGAGTTTTACACAATGGGACTAACTGCTAATAGCCGCCCTGTGTAACACACAAGATGAATGGAGATCGACTGTTCTTGCTCATGATTGCC